AGACTGCTTTTTGAGGGTTAAGACTTGGTTTTTGGGTTCAGGTTACAATTCGGTTAGGGTTAGGGTTAAGCTTAGGCAAGTAGTTGTGATGGTTAAGGGAAGGGGCTAGGGAATGCATTATGTCAATGAGATGTACCCACGGAAATAGTGAAACAAACGTGTATGTGTGAGACATTTCGACCCAAAAGTAATCCAACCTCATGCTGACCTGTTTTTGGATTGCAGCCACAGTTTATTCAGACACAGTGCGTGTGTGCGTGCGCGTGTGTGTGTGTGTGTGTGTGTGTGTGTGTGTGTGTGAGAGCGAGAGAGGGACCACTGACAAAGCATGTCTGCTGTGTGATCCCAGACGAAAGGCTTACGAGTAGGCGGCTGTGTCAGCAGTGACTGTTTGTATATCTCTGTGTTGGTGTCAGATCCCCACCGAGTTTGTGTAAGCCAAATGAGTCTCTGAGCCTAATGAGCTTGTGAAATAAACATTTACCAAAAACACTGTTACATATTTTACGCTTTACATCTTTTGTCAATTTGTGTGTGTGCAGCACGACTGAGCTGTGGGTCCACGTCAACGAACTCCGCTCCTGAGAGGAGGGTCCACAGGCTACTTAGCTTCCAGAGGTACCTGCGTTCGTCCCGTCTACTGCGGGGAGTCCCTCAGCAGATCCCCCTCCACATCCTGGATGAAGACTACGCAGGACAAGCCAGAGTATGACACTTACCTTTATCTAATACCATAACGAGACTCATAGAAATGCACATGATTTGCTTTGTGCAGACTTCACAGCGCTAATTCTGTGCTTCTTTTTTCCTTCTCTTGTAGTGCATGCTGGAAAAAGTCGGCAACTGGAATTTTGACATTTTCCTTTTCGATAGGTTGACAAATGGTAGGTAAAATTTGATATGAAAAACTGATTAGAAGTTGTAAGTCATGATAACAGTAAGTAAGTAATGAAGCGCTGACAGGAGAATCCAGAATTAAACCAGCCTTAGAGTCGATGTGTTACCAATAGTGCCATCTGTTGGATGCCAGCAGACACAGAGGCTTTACTGACTGAAGATTAACTTTAATTGAATCGATGACTTTTATTTTGTAAAGGGGAAAAAAACTCAACTTATTTTCATGCAATTTTGGGTCCCTTTTGTTGTCGTTTGCTTGTTTCCAATATATTGTTAATTTTCCAAATGTTATTTGGTTACAGGCCTCAAAGAGCAGACAAGCAACTCTATAAACTTTTCACTTTGAACCTTTACCTTTAACAGTCACATAGAGAAAAATATTAAAACTAATACATGTTTCTGCACCAACAGCAGCCTCAGTAGATAAGAATGGTTCCAGGCAATTCCTCCTTTTTAATAAAAGTGAATAGATACACAAACCAGATAAAAGTAGAATGCTCACTTATCCTCTTTGCTCAGGAAACAGCCTGATCACTCTGACCTTGCACCTGCTGAACCAGTATGGCCTAGTGGAACTCTTCCAGCTGGACATGGTCAAACTCTGGAGGTTCCTGGTCATGGTCCAGGAGGACTACCACAGCGACAACCCCTACCACAACGCTGTCCACGCTGCGGATGTCACACAGGCCATGTATTGCTACATGCAGGAACCCAAGGTGAGACATGCAAACTAGATATTTTTTGGCTTAAGAAACTATCATTAACTCAGCTGGTGATTGTTGGCACGGGAGTCAGTATACAATTTCCTGATCAGAAGTGCTTCAGTGAAGAAGTATTTGTATTTTAATAATCAGTCATCATAATCTTTGTACCACTGTCTTGTTGTGAGTGCAGCTTTCCAAGTCTCTGACCTCCTGTGACATCCTACTGGGACTCCTAGCAGCTGCCACTCATGACCTAGACCACCCTGGAGTCAACCAGCCTTTCCTCATCAAGACTGACCACTATCTAGCTACACTGTATAGGGTAAAACCACATAACGGTCACTCTTTAACCTGCCAGAACATACTAATGAATGTACTCTAGTGGATGATATATTTTCTTTTAATGCGCAGAATTCCTCAGTTCTGGAAAACCACCACTGGAAGTCAGCGGTGGGCCTGCTCAGAGAGACTGGGCTGTTCTCCCATTTGCCTGCTGAGGACAGGTCAGTCTGACACCGGAATGATGCTAAGTGCACAGAGAAAACTGCTGTTGAAAGTGGTGATACTCACTGTGTGGTTTTACAGATAAAATGCCAACAGATGACACAGTTAGTGCTAAACAGTCTCATAATGTTGTCCTTCCCGCCCCTTAGCCTGAATATGGAGAGGGAGTTGGGCTCCTTAATCCTAGCCACGGACATCAGCAGACAGAATGACTACCTGTCTAGGTTTCGCAGTCACCTGGACCAAGAGAACCTGTGCTTGAGCAACGGTAGCCACCGTCACTTCATTCTGCAGGTCGGTTACCTCCTCGTTTATACATGCACTTCTGCATCTCAGCAGGACTCTAATTTTGTTTTTATTCCCATCCCGTACAGATGGCTCTGAAGTGTGCAGACATCTGTAACCCTTGCAGACCCTGGGAGCTGAGCAAACAGTGGAGTGAGAAAGTGACAGAGGAGTTCTTCCAGCAAGGTTATCTTTTTTTCTGCTGCTTGCCTTTTTTCTTTATTTCCCTTACAGTTCCTTTCTTTCTTCCTTCTGTGTTTATTCTCTATAACCAATTAATTCTAGAATAGTAGACCATATAATGACGCACATAGTAATTAGATTTTGTTATATTCTTTAAGGAGACATTGAGAAGAAGCACAAACTTGAAGTCAGCCCACTTTGTGACAGAGAGGCCAACACAGTTGGCAACATTCAAATAGGTAAGTAGTCGTGTTGTATAGTTATTGTATTCAGCTTTCACCTAGGGCTTGTATTCAATCTTTAGCTTTAATCTTCTCCCCCTTCAGGCTTCATGACATACGTTGCGGAGCCTCTGTTTGCAGAGTGGGCCCGTTTCTCCGACACACGTCTGTCCCAGACCATGCTGGGCCACATGGGGCTGAACAAGGCCAGCTGGGGCGGCCTACAGCAAGAACAAACCTCCGTCTCCGAAGAGGTGGAGCCCAGCACAGCCGGCACCGACACGGAAGACGCCGCCGCCCGAAGAGACGACAACATAGCCACAACCGCAGGAGGAACCAGCTCCAAAGAAATACCTCAGGGAAGCAGAGAATCCTGACACTCCTCGTGTGCCCTTTCACCTCAACCTCCTGACCCCAGACCCTGGCCTCAGGGCCTCACCATACACTGGGGGTTGGGTGGGGCATGCAATGGCCTGCAGCCCTGCTGCTGCCCTACCTGATCCTAACACCTTGTTTATGTTTTGTTGCTTTTGCCTCCCATCTTGATAAACCACTGATTTTATTTAATTTATTTAATTTTTAATTCCTCTTTTTTTGGCATAGAGCAATACATAGATACCTCATTTGGCTACTGCTGTATTTTCTTTTAGTTGCTTTGTTTTATTTATTTGTCCACTGTAGTTTTGGCATTACTGACTGAACACATCACTTCTTTTGTTGGTGAACATTAATGGGAAAGCAGTTTAAGAACTGAAGAAGACATTTTTCCTGGTATTTTGAAGTGCCATTTGAAAACAAAGGTTTGAAGAATGATCTGAACTGAAATGACTGAGACAACTGGAGTATTTGGACCTGAAACTCTCCTAAGACTTTAAAATAAAGCCGTGTTGCATTTGTATTGAAGATTCTTCCTCATGTAAAGACAAAAAAAATGTGACAAGCCCAGTCCTTTTGCTGCCTCTACGAAGACTGTTTACACATCTCCTTGTTTATTGTTGTTCTTTCCCTCGAACTGAAGTGAATCATGTCGGCTCCACGGTTTGCCTTCGAAGCACAGATGTGTAGAACCACTCGTTTGAACTGTCATCCCACTGTTGAAGCCATGAGCAGAACCTTATTCAAACACACCAGATGCCATAAGTAACTCCACCTGTGCTACGACGTGTCTTTGCACTCCCAAATAACGATGGTGTTGGATGTGCAGTTTCGTCTCCATGACATCTCCAAGAGACCTAGTGAAGGTATTGTAGAAATTAGTCCTTTTTTGATGATGTTTCCGACTCTTCCAGTGCTGGTTGAACTCGGGGTGGCTTCCCTCCCACACTGGAGATCAGTTACTCACTGCACATGCATCTCACCTGGAACTCCACTAAACGCAACTTGACTCGCTCAGGGTTTTGCCAGTCTCTTATCAAGAGGGAGAGGGAGAGGAGGCGACTGCGGGTGATGCAAGGCTGTTTGTTTTTATTCTCCCTCTGGCTAGGATCTACTGAAGGAGACTCTCCCTCTCCGTAGAATGTCTCACAGCCACATGCAACCTAAAGGACTGCTCGATTGATGCCTTATAACTATGCACAAACTATGCTAAGTGACCAAACCAGCTCCTGTTCCCATCAAGTGCATGGTGTGCTTGTCTTTGAATGCACTGTCCAGTCCCTTTTGCCTTTTTTTGTTGTAAGGAACAACTGCAGCTGTCCTCCTTTTGTTTGTTTTGTACGGAAACAAAATGGTCGAGTGACTTTGAACATTCCATTTCTTTTGTGTTTGGTTTGTCTACTTTTGATTCTGTATAGTGGCACAAGTTGTGTTTAAAACATTTTGAAAGATAACAGGTGCTTTTCTTACTTTAGCTGATATGTATTTTGCTGTTAAGTGCTGTAAGACTGTTGATAAAACTGTTTACAATCTGTTGCGACAGCCATTTTTGGGAAGACTTAAGTGTCGAGCCAGATTTTTTGTAAAGGCTTTGCTGTATTGACCTTTTTGATACATGCCTGTTGCAGTTACAATTTGAATAATAAAAACTGTTGACAAATGTTTCTTTTACGCGGTTACAGCATGTAGTCTAATACTCCAGCAGAAATAGTGTAAACTGTAAATCAGTCACGTCTCAGTTACTTTCTTAATCCTTGTGCATTAACTTCTAACTATTCAGGATCAATTTAATGATGGCCTTTATTTCCATGACAGACATACACCAAAGCAATACAGGCAGACCATAAACTTTTATTTATAGATTTCACAATTCAAGTTAACAATTTTTATAAAGTCTTTTCTACGAAAATCTTGAATAATCACTCAGTTACCACTGAGACACTCAGTCCACCTTCCCTTGTAGACAAATTGTCTTGAACCAGCAACTAAACTGGCATAGTGAACATAATTGGAAATAATGTGCAATCAGTCACTTTGAACAAAACACTGCCTAAAAACCTCACATGATCCCGAGGAATCAGTACGTTCTGAGACACAAACTGAGGCGTGGAAATATGATTACTGGCACAACAGTGTAAATGATACCTTTGGGATACCGATAACAGTGGGTGCCTTAGGACCCATGACTGAAATATGTTGTCAATACAGAGTTAACTACAACAACACTTGTTTAGTAATGTTGAACTGTGAGTCTTACAGGGAAGTGGTTTTGGGATAAAAGGCAAATGTTACCAAAAAGGGCACTGATAAAGCAACAAGTGTACCGCCAATAACCTAGAAATATTAATGTTGCTTAACAGTTACTGTATCTGTTATCCTCACTATTTAAGCATCATACATGGGACATGAAAAAGCAATATTTGGCAGTGCAAGGCAGAATCTCGCAGAGCATCACTGGAATGTCTTTGGCTCTTAAATGCTGATTATAGTACAGCGATAAATAATGTCAACTAAAACTGGGATGCATAACTTTAAACACATAAGCCACCGAAAGACTGGCAACTGGGACACAACTTACACAGGCTCAGTTAGTTAGTATAAAACTGTTTAAAACCCAACTGTAATTAATAACAGACAAATCAACAACATAATTACCTGTGTTAAAATCTTAATTATCTACTTACACCACAACATAAATATAAGGATCCAAGTCTTAAATTAGTTGTCATACATATATAAACATTACAGCACAATATTCCTGGAGTAAGAAAGTGCTCCCTTTCTTCTGTGGTAGAAGAACTCTTCAGCTTTCAGACCCTCTTCAAAAAAACGGGCATGCAACCAATGATGCCATGTGCAACAAGTTTAACAAAAACCGAAGTAATTATTGAACCATAAAACCATTAAACTTAACGATTCTGTAGTGTTGCTTAAACATGCACTCTGTCTCTGACACACTCAGGACTGTAGAGAGTGGACATTTTGACTAACACAAAAACAAAAAGACATTCAGTTAAACAAAAACAATCAGGTGTGTATAACAGAAAGCTGATAATATAAGTTACAAAAGTGCAAAAACAGATGGTCTAGGTGATCATCGGATGCAACACTATGAGATGAGCGACACTTGGAGCATCTAGCAGAATCCCTTGTTCTTCCACAGAAACAGCCGACAGGGTACTTCAAAGTGTCCTGGGTACATCTGGACCTCAAGTTCAGAATCGCCTGTTCAGATCAGCTTCCTCTTTCCAGTTTGTTTTAACATGTGCTGCCCAAACTGTGAACACAGACAGAAGACAGAATAAACTACATAAAACTCTAAAAACCACAAGATCAGTCAAATTACATTTCAAATCTAATGACACATTGATTCCACGTATGATGTTATTCCAGTTAATATCTACAAACACAGTCTACCTAAGTTGAAAATCAGAGCAAAGTTTTTTGTGGTCGAATACAGAACCATTGCTCACCAAAGGGGTTTCGGCTTGAGGTTTCACGGCTGGAATGGGAAGTTTGAAGACCTCCTTGTCTTCTCGTTCACTGTCATGTCGATAACGATGGGCGAACTTGCGCTTCAGGGCCTCAGCAATGAGAGCTGCAGCATCTACCGGCTCGTTGGACTTCACTTTGGCGTCACCTTCCACTGGACGACTATGAAACATACAGTCAGCAGAAGCACTTACACATGCTAATCGTTTGAATTTGATTTTTTGTGTAGTGTATTCATATGATATATGTATATATGATGAGGCAATGATGTGTCAGCTTGAGTTAGATCAGTGATTGTGTCGAACTGTAACACTACACGCCATTACACTACACAAACTCTATAAACTAAAAAAACTTCAGTCTTCACATTCGATCACTTCCAAAATTTATTTTTGGAAGCGATTTTCATTGATTCACTATGCAAGTAGAGGCCTACCTTTTGACTGATCGCAACTTGACCTTGTTCATGTCTTTCAGGACATCGAGCATGCTGGGGATTTCTGCCGGCTTTGAATCCAAAACTGTTTGGCTGTCTGTCTTCTTCCCCCTGCGCTCCTTTATCAAATCAATGGTAGAAAATGTCCGCTGGAGACTTAAGGGGGGTGGCGGTGGTGGAGGAGGAGGAGGTGGTGGGGGAGGGGGAGGCAGGGTGCCAGAGGGTGGAGGAGGAGGTCTCCCCGTGGTAGCAGCTGAGGTGAAACAAAGGAAATGAAAATCTTAAAGCTGTGTAACATGTGAAATTCTGCTGCCATCTAGAGGGACATGTTTGTTACTACAGTAGAAAACAAATCAATGCATTCAGGCCACACAGAGAGGTTTATGTTTTGAGGGCTGTGTATAACATACCTGGCTGTGCAATCATTTCCTGAGCCAGAACAATTTGTGCTATCTGAGCTCTGAGTTTGGCAAGTTCAGTCTCCAGTGCACTGATCTTCTGAATGGCCTCATTGTTGGCGACTGTTGGTGCCTGGGGGTCCGGACTCCCCTGATGCAGGCTTGGTAGTGACCTCTGGCGGGTTAAAGGTTTTCTCTGAGGATGGGGCTGGCGCGCTCGAAACGCCAATCCTGGTGGGATCCTTGATCTGTTTCAATAAGGCGGGATCATGTTTTTCTAGACGCTACTCCAGTGAACAAGGAAATTCTTACACATGAAACTGCAATTCTCCTCTAGAAGACGTTAGCTGACAGATCACGCTCCCGCTCTCACCTGGGTCTACCAAGGAGGTCTTCATCATCCTCGTCATCCCTGCTTATCCAGGCGATATCAGCCAGAGAGGCCACCAAACCATTCTGCCTCCTGGCGCTAAATAGGACACCAGCGTCCTCATTGTACGGATAAAGCTGTCAGACAGAGAAGAGCCGTGTTCAACGTTTTGACAAAAAAACATGCCAGACAAGAGCACACACCCAGACACATTACAACACTGCATTTTAACAATGGATAAAGGGTAGTAGTTAAGTAAAATATAGAAATGGGGGCAGTTCAGAGGGAGGGTGTATGGAAGGCATCTATTCACTGTTAATGAAAGATTTGTGTAGGTCAGAAGGTAGATCAGTAAGTCTTTAATCAGCTCAAGGTTGTTGAAGGTTGTTTAACAAACTGACCTAAAGCAGACATATTGCATTCCTCATAGCTAGGGAGGGTAGCTGGAGGAAGAAGAAAAGAAGAAAAGAGAGAGCACAGTGTTGGAGGAGTCAGAAAAGAAAAGAAATTCAATATTCAGAACGACATGCCACAGAACTGAAATTTCAAAAGGTTGATTTGTTAACAGTTTTGAAACTTCTGAACACACAGTCCGTGCTCTGATGACAAGAAAACAACCCATATATATATATATATGATTTTAACCGCCCTGTTTACGGTCTATAAATGAAAACAGTCAGACAAGCAGAGGTAAACACAAGCTGAAGAGGGTGTGTGATTTGTTGTCACATGACTGCAACTCAGCACAGTAGGGAGAGACAAAAGAGGAATTTGTGTGACAAATTCAAAAAACTTAAAAGAGCAACATGCCATTATTTTAAAATACAAGCTGAACATACTACATTTTTAAAGACTGACGGGTCTGTCTGTTAAAATGACACAACACTGTAGTTATGATGATCTTGCTAAACCTCCTCACCTGAAAATGAACCCTGGGGCAGGGTTTAAGAGGAAGACTAGTGGCTATTCTCCTCACAATACTTCTCGAGGACCCATAGGGCTTGGCTGGTCCAAAAGCCTGCAAAACCAAAACATGAAACACAAAACTTACATCACAAATGACAGGGAAAATAATAATATGCCAAATTTTCTCTATTACAATAATTTATTATTGAACTAACTGCATTGGAGTGGAAACACCTCGAACAGACCTCAACAGTGGGCTTTCAGATGAGAGCCAGACAAAGGTACACTAGGGGTGGTGTTTTATGGACTGTGCAAGACTACGAAATCAAACATTTCAGGTGTATGGAAATAGTATGTTTAGCAGACACTAATGGAGTCAGACATTAAACACGAAGTGTCACATACCAGGTCCATTTCGGTCTGTGCATGGTCTCTACTCATTACTGTAACTGCGTTTCACAAGGGCAGCTGGCACATGCCTCAACACCAAGGGCATCATCACAGAACGGGCATCTAGGGGAAACACAACACAAGAGTGAGAAAATCAGGTTTGATTACATGGAAACACAAAAGTTAGGCATGTCTCTTCAATGTAAACCTGTGTTAACAACATGGTTACACTGACAGCAAACGTCGCCATTTGAGTTGTTTGTTTAGCGATTTTACGTGTGACTGCTGTAACGCAGCTGTAACACATTTATTGCCGAGATTAATAAAGTATCCATCTATCTCACTTATCTATCCATCCATCCATCTACCGTTACAGCGGCAAGATAATCACGACAACGTTTTCAAGCTAATCTTTGCCGCTGTTTGTTTTGAGAGTTCAGAACTTAGTCGCAGCTAAATAAACCAGCACACCAAGAAACGTGTAACTTTAAGAGAGTCAGTCGCAGTTCTGTGACAGATGTGAGTTGATCTCATGCCAAGCCAAATTATAACGTTACACTGGTGAATCTTAACTTTAGCGGGCTAACGTTAACTGATGCTAACAGCGAAAGCGGGCTAGCTAATTTCAGTAAACTTAAACAACCGCTGATAAATTTATTAACGTTACAATATGGCGAAGACACGCACAATTGTAGTTACCTCGAACTACATGTGTTAATGTTATTTATTCATATTCGAAGATCGGTTGGGTGTGAGACTTTCGAGCTAACTTACCGAGTCTGACGCCGCTTGACCAACTTTCTAATTTTTTCCACCTTGTCGAAGGGCGGACATCTACTGTGGGAAGACTCGGGAATACATTTTGAGCCAATTGGACTATGGGGATCACAATAGGTAGGTTGTGATCATGGGACGCCACCATTGGTTTTTTGCATTAGTTGACAGACAAAGTCACCAATTAAAATTTAGATTTAAATCACAACTATCTCATGATTGGGTCTTATGACAGTCGATCAAAGTATACCGTCCAATGAAATTCCAGGAACCTGGAGTGTGCTCGTTATAGTTCTCTACATTCCCCGGCGGGGCTGTGTCCGGGGTTAAAATACAGGGAAACTTGTGGAAAACTGGGATGTCCTGAATCACAAAGCAGCTGTACCCATTGATGTGCCACAAAACCCAAACACTGTGCACGGCTGTTAGCTAGAGAAGCATAGTAAAGAAAGAGGCGCAGGCCTAGCGTTAGTGAAATTATTTTGTCATAGTTTCATTTTGAAAGTGGTGTCGGGACGTAGTTGTTTCTTGTTCCGTCGTTTTTGCATCTGTTGTAACTGAAGTTACCCGGGGTTGTCTCATGATTTTACTGCAAACTGACAAGAAGGTATGCTGTAGTTAATTGTCAAGTAACGTTAGCTAACGTTAGCCTAGCTTAGTTGCTGAATCGCCTCTTTACCACAGGGCGTGATTTGAGGTGAGGTTGAGGGTCGTACTGTGGAAAGCGTCTTTGGGAAAATTCTACTATTAGTATTCTCGTCTACGAAAATTACTTGATTGTGTTAGCAGCAAAGCAAGGGATTAAACCACATGATTTAAAATTAGCCTATCAAAGCATGCTAGGTTAACGTCCTTTGTTATTTCATGAGATATCTGTAGTGTTATCAATGCATATCAGTAAAATCAGTAACTTTTGTATTACAAGAGTCAGTTAAGTTATCAGTCAAACTGTTAAGCAACGCATATTAGAGGTTATTGTTTATAACGTTATATATCCCCCAACAGATCCGTGAAACGTGGTCTAAGGGAATGGGATAGCTGTAAAAGTTTAATAGTTAGGTCATTCCACCGACACTTTATTTTGCAAGGTGTAACCTAACATTATTCTGCACCAAGCTAGGAAAAAAAGACAGTACAAGTAGCTTTTGAGCTGTGTTGTACTTAAAACGCATTTGTGTTAGTGTTGCAACAATAGGTCGATTCATATTACATTATTATTATAAATGTATTTGTAAACAACTAAGAAGAAGGTAAAAAGCTCAAACAAGTGCTGGCTCCAGCTTCTCAAATGTGAAGATTTGCTGCTTATCTGTATTTTGTCTTATTGCAAATTTAATATCTTTGGGCTTTTTACTGGTTGTCAGCAAAATAAACTATTTGAATAAATGAACTTGGACTCTGGAACATTTTTACCCATTTTCATTTCAAACAAATCATTGAGAAAATCTCCTGGTTAATTCATTTATGGAATGATAATTAGCCGCAGCCCTAATATGTATAATGTAAGATCCCTAATTTACCTCATCTTTTTTCCCCTTAGTAGAGTGAAGAGGTTGGTTTAATGTGCGTGACGTCAAGACAAGAGGCACCATGAGTGCGGAGATGGATGCACTGACTGTTGTGAACCAGCTGCGAGATCTTGCTGCAGACCCCCTAAACCGAAGAGCCATTGTAGAAGACCAAGGCTGTCTACCAGGCCTCATCCTTTTTTTAGACCACCCCAACCCACAGATCGTCTACTCTGCACTATTGGTAAGTAGCATCCATTCATAGTATGTTCTTTATTTGATCACGGATAGGACTCTCCACAACTCAGATAGTTACTGTTGCACAAAGGATAGGTTTGAATACACAGGGCTAGTGGTTGAGCGATATGTTTTTCTCTATAGCCAGTGCCGATATTTAGAGAGCAGAGCGGCCGATATATAATGCTGATTTCAAAACAAAGAAAAGTCATTTATATTTCCAATATTCCACGGAGAGAGTACAATCTAATATACATGTTATCTTAGCCAGTAACATATGGTTGTAGATGGAATTTTAATTAATTAATGAAATAGAAAAATACATTGGGTTATGCTGTAGATTACAGAACATGACTGGTGTTTTAAGGAGAGACTGGTTCAGTTTGTCAGAAGTGATGTCATTCAACTGCATTATTGTCTACAGTATAACAATATATATTTAACGATGGTGACTGAGGAAATATAAGGCTCAAAAATAACTTTGTCACCACCTTCCCAAAACTCACAATGGGGAGCAATAACATTGTTCCACAGCAGCCACACTGACAAGGCTGTTTGCAGACATTTATTGTATATCTACCTTGTGAGTGCAGGTATTGGCCGATTACCTCAAAATGCAATATATTGCACAACACAAGGCTGATTATTCAGTACCACCATACAAGTAGAGAAATTACTTATTCAAACATTCTAGTATACAATTTATCTACAGCAGCTGTTTAGATAAAATTTGTCCTGGTTGAATAACCAGTTGAGATCCCTACTGGTTCTGTAATTAGGTGTTTTCTGATCGTCATATTCTGTCGCCCCCTGCTGTCCAGCAGCATAAGAGCAGGTTTCACTGACTGACTGAAGGCCATTTCTCCACGTCACTGTCACTCTAGTTAGAGTACATGTTTAAGTGGCTTTATGTAAGAGTTGCTCCTCGACAGGAACTCGTGAAGTACAAACACGGGGTCAGTGCATGTGCATTTATCATAGTTATGTAATATTTTACCGTTGCACATGCTAACCCAATTTAAAACCTCTCTTATGATATCACAAAGGGTCTGCCAGCTTTTAGCGCTGAATAGATAACGTTTGCCCTTGTCCTTGCAGGCCGTGCGCTACCTGGCAGAATGTCGAGCCAACAGGGAGAAGATGAAGGGCGAGCTGGGCATGATGCTGAGTTTGCAGAATGTCATGCAGAAGTACAGTCCCTGTCATCACCACATCTCACACACACATGCTCAGTGTGCACTTTCTTTACATAAAACCTTAACCTAGGATTTCTTTTGTTTTGCACAGACGATGTGTGCCAGTCTGCAGATTTTCCAGGCAGGATTATGTCCTTTCATTTGCCATGTCAGGATGAATGTGATTAAAGCTGAATTAAAATAAACAGTAAAATTGCTGTTTCTGCACTACATAGATTTTAATGCATCTTGCCACCTCTCTGCATTTTTCTTGATGAGTCCATGTGCATGTTTTTACTGATGCGAGCTTATATTTGCTCTTGTCTTGTTGTGGAGTTGACGGGTTATTTTTGCAGAGGTGACTCATTCTCCACACATGGTATATTTTAAGCATATTTTTTTGTTGCTTGTTTTTAGTCTTGTATTGTTTGAAGGCTTCTCTAGAAGCATTGGACTCAATTTATTCTACAACTCTCTAAAAGAACACGATGAACACTCTGGTCACCCGTGGGTTTGAGGTGGTGTTGTGCTCCAGATAGTTGGTCTTACCCGAGGGTCTGTGGCAGTTTTGCAAAGTGACTGCTGTTCATCATTGGCACCCTGATAGGAATAGCCCTATGTTAAAGTGGCCGGCTTGTAGGATTTTGTCCCCCACCCTCCCCCACCTTCCTTCGGCAAAGCTTTTGCATGCCCTGGAGTGCGCCAGTCACTTCAACTAGTCAGGGGTGGCATCAAGAGGAGCCCTGCAGTAACAGCAGCAGCTTTCTGTGCTCACAGTCCAGTCGATCTGACTTTGGGTAGAGGTCGATCATAGCTGAACAGAGTGGGAACACTTGGCTGAGGGGGGGAGCGTCCAGCGTAGTTGCACCAAACAGGTGTGAATCCCATTTGGATTCCTTCATCTGAAGCTCAAGAAGTGTTACCTCTTATTCAAATCCTAAAAGTGGTGAACAGATAAATAAATCAATTGAAGAGAGTGTTGGGCTTGCTGAAAGGCTGACAGGCCTCCACAGTGCCGGAGCAGGAATGTGTCGTACAGCGCCGGGGAGCACCAGGCTCCCAGAAGGCAGCCATGCCAGACAGCTGATGTCGTATGTGGTTATTATAGAAGGAGTGATGACTTGGTGACACATTAAGCAGTTTAGCCTGCAGGGGTATCTCACGATCCCTCACAAAATATCAGCAACTGCAACTGACCTCATGTGGCTTTTTCAAAGAAAGCTGCTGCCCACAAAATATTATGCTCTGCTATGGATTTTTTTTTTTTTTTTTGTAAAAAAAAGTCAGTAAAAATATGACTGAAGTGCAGAATAGGCTTAATTAGCATGAGTTTAAATGTTGTGTGATGGGTAGCAGTGCAAAGAATATTATGATGAACTGACTCAATGATGTGCAGTATTTCTAAATGTGTACTATGTTTAGTTGGTGGTATGGCTGGCACTGTGCCCCTGAGTCCTAAGTCTTCAGCATCAGACCAGGAAGGACATGGTCAGAGTCAGTCTACATCCATTGGAGCTTATAAAATGGGAGCTTAGTGAATTTATTTCAGTTTTAGGCACTACTCTTCTCTTCCACAGAGGGATATTTGTCTGCCTTTACATAGGTATTTCTATCTTGCCTCTCAACAGAAATGTCTTGGCACAGCTATTTAAAAGTGGTCAAGATTCAATTTACCTTGTCTTGACATCAATTATACCTACATTCAACTGCATTGCACCTTTAGTATTGTTAAAGACTTAGAAATACAGTACGACAACACAACAGATAACTTCAGTTCTCTTTGATTTGAGTGGAATTGACTACGTGTGTGTACATAAACCACATTTGCCAAATTAAACAACATAAGTAATATTTCTTTCATGTCTGCCCCTCTAATCTTTTTTTTTTTTTTACTTTCTCTCACCGAAGGAGTACATCGCCTGGGGAGACCAAACTGCTGGCCTCTGAGATCTATGAGATATTGCAGTCAGCTGGTAAAGAAGAGGCCGAACAGGCCGAGGCAGCAGCCGCCTCCTGCCAGCGCAAAGCCCACTTCTTCCTGGGATCCAACAACAAGAGGGCCAAAACGGTTGTGCTGCACATTGATGGACTGGATGACCCTGTAAGTGTTCGCAGAGTGTTTGCATTTGGGATTCAGCATGACGTACTGGCACGCACTGATCATGCTCAGACATACCACACGTCTGTTGATGCACAAAAATCTCTTTTTGGGGCATCGTGTTTACCACTGTCATTATCGCAGTGTTTTCACTGCATCGTAGCAGTGTCTTATCTGGCACATTACAGGGGGGGTGGAGGGGTCAGTTTGTAAATGTCAGCCATTGAACAGCAGGACGTTGAGATTGAACCTGAATGCTGCTCTGCAGGAAGCTTGCACCTAGCCAGATTACATTACAGCAGACAGACGGCCTCTGGTGGGCTGCATAGCTATCACTACAGCAGAAACACACATAGTTATGAAAACTGTATTTCTCAATAGCATGTTGTATGGAGCAATTGAATACTTTATAAATTTAAGGCCCACATTTGGTTGTATTAAACTGTTGGTGATTTTGCGTCACCCACATTTCCAACCTTATACTGTATAATGTACCTTTTAAAATCTGTTTCCTGTCTGTTGTCAGACTCGAAGGAGCCTTTGTGAGGAGGCGTTGCTGAAGATTCGAGGGGTCATCAGCTTCACCTTCCAGATGGCCGTCAAGAGATGTGTTGTCAGGATCCGTTCTGACCTCAAAGCCGAGGTACGTGTCTGCTACTGATTGCTGATGATATTAAAAATGGGGAAATCTGCTTAAAAAGGGGATAATGTGCCACCTCAAACTATTAACTTTATCATTGGTGTTTAAATCTGGCAAGTAATTATAACATGTAGCTTGGTTTACGTAAAATGGATGAAAATGTACTTGTAACAAACCATATATCAGCTGTACCTGTATTGGTTGGATGTCTAGGGCATAACTTTGACATTGGTCTTGTTAGCAAAAGCAGCAAAAGCAAAAATTTGCTGATACAAGATAGCTGACTAGTATGTTGTCAACCTGTGGTGGGAGCAGCATTGTCATTGTCGCTGCTTGTGCACTTTATAGTTGATGACTAACAACAGTATTGTGCATTTACATTCAATTGACCAAAAGTATGCGATTCATTTTCGAGCTGCATACAGAAAAACAAACAATCACAAATGAAATCAGAAGTGTTCTGTTTTTTTTAATCACAGGCATTGGGCACAGCAATCAACTCCACCAAAGTAATGACTGCTCAGCAGGTGGTCAAGACCGAGGATGGAGGAGAGGTAAGGACAGCCGGGAGACAGAGATGTGAGAGAGAAAACAACTGTAACATCTGTATTGTTTTCCTTAGATTTGCTGTACACAAGATGCATTATATTTTTTTCACCTAGAACAAGTCAGTTGATAATCAGTATGCTCACTGTATGTTGGGTCTATCTGTGTACAGGGAGTGTAGCCGCCCTTGCCTGTGGCTGAGCCTTATTCACGCTGACATGATTAGCTAGTCACATCTCTGCCTCAGCCTGTAGGCTAGTTTCTTTTTGCCAAGCACATGGCCAGTCCTAGCTGTACCTTTTTTTTCCAATTTTTTTATTTACAGTTGTGTATTCCCAATTTGGAGCTTGTAACCAAATTGTAAAGTGAAACGGCTAACGTTTAACAAAAACTGAGATTCCAAAGAGTTTGTTTTCTAATAATCTGCAGAGAAATGTAATAATTGTTGCTCACATAATCGAAAATACTTGGCAATGGCTGCTTTAATTGTCATAAATAATGTGGCCAGCAGGGGTCAGACCTGCCTCAGTCATCCAATCTGACTCCATATGATGATTATTTGGCTCTGTAGTCTTTAACAGCTGTGCTTTACATTAATCCGGGAATACATCTTTGCTTAAATATATAAATATTTCTTTTCTGTTTTTGTGCAGCGGATGGTGCCATTCCAGGAGGACTCGGAAGTGCTGGTAGAGGAGAACACAGACATCCCAGACTACCTGCCTGAGGAGGAGAGTCCATCCCAGGAACAGGACAAGGCTGTCACACGCGTGGGCTCCATCACAGACGGCATGGGCTGGCTCAGCACGGCTGCCAACTTCCTGACGCGCTCCTTTTACTGGTGACCACTTCCTGTGCTTCTCTCTGTGCTCCCTGTTTTTTCTAAAGTACCATCCAGCTGCAGCCTTAGCATCTCTCAGCCTTGTCCCGGATGAAGCCCTGCCACACGGCCCCACACTAGTCTAGACTCCCCCCTCTGCAAAGCGCACAGAGCCTGGCCACGTGTGTGCAACAAGTACTGGACTGCCGAGTGGAACCTGCAATAACTTTACCTTGTGTATATATGGAGCTACAAATCCCACTACTGGCTGTGTGTGCATAACTATATACTAACTGCATATGTATCTCACGAGACCTAGCCAGAGGACTTTTAAATCAGCCGAAACCAAATAACATTCTGGTATTGCTTCATTGGCAGCGTTGACATATGGCAGGCATATTTAATTGTTCTGAGGCTGATTTCTGAATACCTTGAAAATTGGGAGTTCCTTTTTTTTGTGCATGATTTTTGGTCATTGTCCTTTTTACTATATATATTTTTCATTCTTAAATTCCCTAATTAAGCCGATTATGTCTTTTCCCTCGTTCAGTTTTATTAGCATGCTATGAGTCTGTTGTGCCAATCTTGCCTGATGCCTAGATCTGTGATTTTTGTGTGTGCCTTTTTTGACATTTATTTTTTTAATTATTGTTTCATCATTCATTTGAATGATTTGAGAGCTCCGAGCATGTCAGATGTAACATTTGTGCTTCTCAGGCGGACCTTAGCAGCAGCACAGCAGCAGCCTGGCTTCTGCCAGCTTTTAGCTCAATGGGACGTCACTTCAGTAGAAATAGTAAACTTAGACACCAGCAAGAGCCCTCAGCCAATTCAGCCACTGGCTCACATACATTAGACTGTTTGTTACTCAAAGAACAACTGTTTAGCTAGTTATATAATTAATATAACACCCTTCACTGAGTTTGGTTGTGTCTGTTAAAAATCAGGACTCGTTGGATGATGCTATAATGTAGGAAAAATCCAATGTCAGCTCTGCAGTGGTGGAGAATTAACTGACCGCTCCTTGTATTATTTGCACAGACTTTAGGCTACCTCTGCTTTCAGCTCTCACATTAACATTATGTTCTTCCTGTAGTTTTAGTAAAACCCTAGATCTGCATGTGAAAGACAAACCTATTAGCTGCCTGCTTGTCAAATACTTACCTGTTATCTGACTCCCACCGACATTGTTACAGTATTGTAGCCCACCTGTACAGTTCAATTTTCAGTTTAGCCAGCAGTGTCCTTAAAGCAAAGATCATGTTGGTACACGCTCTCACATGAATACAGAGGACTCCCTAATGCTGTCACATGAGCAGCAGTGATATACTGGAACAAGGGTGTGGTTATGTACATTTTGTAAATGATGCCTGATTCCCTAAAATCTCAGACCTTACATGTGAAGGAAAATTTTGTTCTGTTTTTTTTTAATACTGATTTGCATTTTTAATGTCGGAAAATGGGATAAGAAGTTGTAGCAGCTAAGGCTAACGCTCTTAGCGAGTTTTCTCCTTTTCTTTAGCCGTTACAAGCCCAATGACTCACACCAGGTTTAATTATTCTCTCCTCTGACTTGTGTAAGTGTCATTAACAATTATTATATACACTGCTGACCAGGCGACTTTTATTGTTCTGATGGTGCGGAGACGTCACAGTTGGTTGAGGTCAAATAGATAAAGGACTGGCATAGAATGACCCGAATAATTTGAATTGATGGTGGCTATTTTCTGGAAGAGCAATAATATTTTTTGCATTAAATGTAGAGATTATAAATCAACATAATTTTTCTAATCAAAGGCATGTTAAACGTTAGGAGCATCATCAGTATTAAAGTTTCTACTTTGTCTGTTTTGCACAGAATTAATCTCTTAAATTCATGTAATTTCATTTTTAATTTAAATTTGGTGTCTTAGCTCATACTGCAGAGAAATACTTGAACATTGTTTCTTAGAGCTGTCCTTATGTGTTGATCAAAGTGTAAATTTCCCTTAAATGTTAGTTGAACCACATCTGTAATGTTAACAAAAAAAACCCAAACTCAAAACTGTAACTTCCTGTATACAGACTTCATGTGTCAGTTATCAGATGTAATATATTGTAATGCAGATCTTCAAACTGTAGATTCACATACACTGTTAATGGAAATGATAAACTTAAAATCAAAATTTGTCTGGTGCTTTTTATTTTTAGCGCATTTTTTTGTGGCCAGTTATACTGAATATGATAAGATGGTCTTGACCCGTCTTTTCTCAGCATCCCTCTCATGGTACTCTTTGTGTTATGTGGTCACACTAGCGCTGCAGACCGTACTTTGTCAAATCAAACTGCTGAAGGCAACAACCATTCTTAGTAGAGAGAGAGGGGAAATTCAGTTTTTCTTTACTGGTGCGTAAGTGAGGTGCCCCAGGGCGATCCCGTGGCCTGCCCACCACCTCCCCAGCCTCTGTGCTGGTAGGCAGGAAGAGGCAGAGCCAGCCCCAGCTGGAGGCCCTGGAGCCACTGCTGATGCTGATGCTGCTGCTGCTGCTGAGCATCCAATGAAACACTGTGCCAAGCTGGAGGGGAGGCCTTCACCACCCTACTGCATGGAAGGTGACTACAGCACATTTAATGACTGATTTTGACAAAACATTTTTTATCTGCTTAGGCCATTTTAAGGTGAACCATTTAAACTGCATTAAACTAAGTATTTTACATTTTTATCTTGGACCCATCAGACGTTTGTGTCATTTAAGTAAGGCCTTCTATTCCAATGGATGAAGAGGCCAGTTTTTACCATGGCTTGGAAATAATTTAATTACTCTAAACCTGTGACTTGTGTAACTCAGGTATACATTCACTGCACAGGTCGAAGTAAAACAGACCAAGCTAAATAGTTCAGAGCTGCTTAATTAAACAACAAGCTGTGCAACCTTTTTAGGGTTAACCGTCTTATATCTTTTGACAATATAATCTCACTTCAAGGTCCACTTAGTGGCAGCTCCGAAGCTTCTCGATCATATCACATGATTATCGTCAGCATATGGAGATGGCCCTAAGATGTTTGAGAAGTTTAGATGCTCAAATGTGCATTTTTTCTGAGGATGTAATGGACTAGTACTCTGCATCAAGGGGCTGCCTGCATGCACAATACCTAATATTGTATGTATGATTTGCAATAGAAGAGGCCTCTGAGCTCAGACTTCTCACTTATCACCACTAGAGAGAGACAGTAAGCCTGGCAAGGAACAAATTATAAAGTGTGGGGTCCAGAGTATAATGTAAAAACATCCAATGAAAGCACTTGTTTGTAATGACATGACCTGAGGTTCCTAATGCTATGGAGAGCCATGCTGAAACTGCATTTCCATTTGGTCAGTTTGAGCTTGGGCAAAGAATCGTCATAACCATTAACACACTGCGACCATCGGCATGCTTTGTTCACCTCAGACCATAATATCTGTAGATTAATGCAGCCATAAGGTTGTTTTTAGTAGTTAATATAGTGTGCACCTTTCTCCGCAATGCCTGAGCACTAATGTGAAAAGCAATTTTCAGTTTTAAATTATTTTCCTCAAGGGTTCATATGCTGCCTTATAATGATATTACTCCTCTCAGAATTTTTTATTTTTTTTTTGTTACACATAAGGGGATATCCTCCAGAGAACATAAAGGTGGCACTCACCTCTCATTTTCAAATTAAAGTCATAGCTAAGTTCACTTTCACTCCTCCTTGAATAAGCAGTTCCCCCTGTTTCATTCAGATAAAACACAATCAGCCTGTCTTGTGCACAGCCCTGGCCCTCTGCACGGCCATATCAGCCCAGCTGCATGTGCATTAATGTTCTGTCAGTATCACCTTCCCACCTGTGTGTATTTGCATGGTTAATCTGCCCGCAGGGGTGGGGGGAGAGGGCCCTGATGCAGGGTAGATAGGTATGTCTCACGGCCCCATGGGCCCTTGAGGAATTTTATTGGAGGTTCAGCTCCCAGTCAATGGGATCAGCCGTAAATCCCGCTCAGAGTGTGGCAGGAAATGATGTGACTCCAGCAATTTATGTCAAATAACTTTTGAGGATGTGTGAGTGTAGCGATCAGCGCTACCGGGGCAGCGATAATTCTTCGGCAGGGGGGCCCCGGTGAAGATTTAATTGAGACATTTTTCTTTATCTGGAGCGAAGCGCCGGAGCCTTGTTGTTGTGTAACGAGATGTAATGTCTCTCTTTATACTGGGGTCAACATCCAGGATGAGGGAAGGTCACGGACTGACTGTTTGAGCATCCAATTTACTCGCATAATACTCTGCTCCACGGGGAGCTGGGTAAAGACACACAGTATTAAGTTACATAGTCCACATATCACGGACAGACATGGCGCCCTGTGCTGTGGAATACAATGCCTCCTTATGATTTTATAGCCTATGTGGCCGGTGTGAGTGTGTAAGGGAACAAAAAATGTTAAGTAGCCTAATGTAGTTGCTCAGTCTAAAAATCTTATTTAGGACTGTGATCACATTTTTATTTGTCTCCATGGTGGAAGACTCTAAGGCACCTTTTATGAAGGCTAATGAATATAAATGGTTAATATATATGTTTACTACTTTTTCTAGATCAGTTAAGAGCTAGTAATAAAGACAGATTTTAGGTTGGCATTAGGGGGAAAATCTCATTGACATGTAGGCTATTTATGCATTCTGTTAGTTAACCATTAGGCCTACATGTTCATTGGTTTCTCACTTTCTAACAGGTCATTGAGGCTGCAGATATAACTGTTAGTATGCCTTAATAAAGGGTTGCACTTATAAATGTTAGTTGCACTTATGTTAGTAATCACCATGTCTGCTAATGTGTTGCTGAATAATGGATTTTGGTCCCAGTCATGTAAAGCCCTTTTCCACGTGGTCAAACCATGCAACTGCTCAGAGGGATTTACACAACCTAGCAACCCTAAACGTTGTTATAACTGATATATAAAAGCATTACATGATTTATTAACTTCAAAACAGCCTTTAGTCACAACTTATAATCCCTCAATAAAGGGTACCTTGGGTAAGTATTAAATAAGTCAGTGTAAATATTTTGCAGTAAAAGTTCTGCATTAACAATGCACTTTATACTCAATAGTAATAATACTCCTAATGCAGAAAGGCTCCTGTCAGTATAATATATTAGAATACTGGATAATTATTATTGGTGCATAGCCTATAAGCAGCATATAATGTTGGTTGGTGAGTTTAACTACTGTTGGTAGTGTAATCTGTAACCATCACATTTTGTACGATGATCATATGTCTTGTTGCTATATCAATCTGCAAAGTCAGATTGAATTTACTATTAAAGGATAGCCTCTCGAGATGCATCATCTCATTTTCAAGAGGGTCCTATGCCAGACAGATGTAAAGTGATGGAAGAAATATTGAGATTCTCTGTAATGTACAAAACAAATTAAAAAAGACTTCATGACAAGTAAAAGTCCTGAACTAAGTGCATACAGAGGTATCAGCAAAATGTACTTTGAGTAAAACTACTCAGAATGGATCAGAAGGGCCTCTGTCACTGTTGTAAAATGTGATTATTAATAAAGCATTAACATGTAACATTTTAATGTTGTAATTCTCCTGAATAATTATGTAACCCATTTTATAAAAACATAAGTTTTGTAAAATCTTAATCACAAAGTAGCAATCCACTGTACTGTAAAGTTACTTCAGTAGGTGTCAAATAACTGTAGTGGAGTGCTTCTAAAAAGTAGTGAAGTATCAGCAGGTCTACATGCAGTAGCCTTGTCTCTCACTAGACTACAAGGTGATAGCCCTGAATTAACAACTTTTTGCATTATAAAATCAGGCCATCTTATTTCTTTAAAACAAATTGAGTCTTTTATATCTTGCATTGTGCATTTGTGTGCGTGCTCCTCCTCCTGCAGCAGCAGCTTGCATTTGGGCCTTGATGAGATGCACGCACACACAGGCGGCTCATAATTGTGGCTATAGCTCATTATTGTCCCCTGGATGATTTGGATCCGCTGGGGGTGCGGGGGGGGTGGGGTGGAAGTCTCGTCCTCTGACACCGCCACGTCCGCCCGGCGACAACCACTCCAGGTACTGATTGGTGGGATGAAATATTGCCGGCGAAAATTAAAAGGTCCCAGTGTCAAAATAATTCATGATATGCATATCTTCCCGGCTTGATGAAATCGCTGATATCTGGATTAGGCGGATAATAAAAGCGATCAGGCTACAGTTAAACTGTTTCAGCAGCGGCGGTGGCGGGGGGTGGGGGAGGGGTCTTCTTTATGTGTCGAGAGGTGGGCTGCAGGGTCAATATACAACAAGTGGTGTGTGCGTGCGTGGGTTCGTGCGCGTCAGCCCCTGTCAGTTTGTGTGCGGTCCAGTTCACCACACAGCCCAGACCTGTGATTTGAATATCCGCTGTAATTGTCCCAAAACGGCTCATCAGTGGATCTGCCTGCTGCCATTAGGGCCCAACAATATGGTGTGACATTCAAATTCCCCTCAATGACAGGTTATTAGGAGCCCCAAGCAGCCTGCACATAATTAAGCACCGTAACGCTGACCTGTAATATGAAGTGATGGCTCAGTGGTACAGTGGGCAAGAATGAAATAGGTGCTTTGTTAAAACACAGGTGAAATCTGGGATTTTTTTATATATGCAACAGAGTGAACACAAAAGGAAGACAGCTGTCAATGTAAAATTCAGCGCAAACTTATATAGAGGCAAATAACACAGGCTGTAATTTTATAACTGGAAAGAAACTGCATACCAGCTGCCATGGCAACAGCTGACAGATTAGAGAGTGAGATAATCATAGTCATCAATACTGCTCAATATCACCAAAAGTAATGAATTTGAATCTTTTTGCCTACGTTCTGTTCCTCTATAAGATCATGTCGGTTTATGTTACACAATTTACTTATACTCCATTTTTATCCGTGGTCATGTGGAGCTGTGTGAACAAATCTTATAGTCCCCCAAAAAAAGAGAAAAACAAACAACCTGAGAAAAAAAAGAACGTGTGACTTTCATTTGTGACACTAAAAAGCCTATTACACAACTTAAGACATTCTGTCTGAGGCCCCCGCTTTCCCCATTAGAACAAGTGGACGTTGTGATGAGCAATGGACCCATCTGCTGTGCCCTCTCCTCCAACTGGTGTGTGAAGATGATGCA